GCTGACGTAAACATGGTCATTTGGTCAATGTAAAGTGTTCATTAAAAAAGGTTCATACTTGGGCCTAGCAATATTATTACGATATCATACTTCTCACGTGTATTTGTCGGCACACGGCATTTTGCCTTTGCTATCAAATCGTTAGTTCTTGTTATATTTAAAGAACTGAAGCATTAAAAAATGATTTTTTTTATAACAAAACCATTTCTGTATAACATTTTACTACAATAGAGACAAGGAATTAGATATGCAGCATCAACAGCCGATATCCAGATCAAGTGGGTAAAAGAATAGTGGTAACTCTGGAATGTTGATTGTATCACTAACAACAAGACTGCCTCTAAACTGACAACTTAAGGTTGTCAGAGTTACGCCCCTTACCGAATCAAAAATTCTCTGGACTAGCGCTGACTAGAACCCTGCAATCCACTTTCTTAAAAGAAACCAATTTTGTGGCAAGATTATCCTGCAGTTAAAATCTAATCTAAACATGTTTTCATCTTAATCTTAATTAAATCACAAATATAAAAGCATTCATAGTTTAATTTCATGAAAGAAATTAACAGAAATTTCACAAAAGAACAGAATTACCACATTATCAAGCTTGACTGACAATAAAAATATTTCAATAAAATCTTGATTCTGGAGGAAAGATTATACATATCTGGTAAAAAATGCTGAACTAAAACATACTAGGTATTAACACAGCCATTCTTTATTTCTGTATTCTTTTTTTTTAATTTCTTTTGATAATTGAAAATAAATCTGACCCATCTTCATTTCTATACTTACTTTAACCGTGTTTAACATACATCTAATAAACCCCATAATTCTGTTATGAACTGCCAGAGCAATAATATCACATATCATTTACATCATATTTTGATTTTCATATTGCGCGTAAAAGTTGCATAGATTCACAAAATAAAAAACGGCTCCATGTAATTTCTATTTCACAAATTAGTGTTATTTGTTGTGTTCTGATGTATTGTACCAGTACTGTTGAGTTGTATACATGATATGTCTTTGAGGCCTCATACAACAATATCATACACATAGAAAAAAAAATTACAAAGAAAAGACATGCAAAGTCCAAACCATGTGACAATGCCAATAACACAAATATTACACAACCAGGACAATTCACATTTAACTTTGACAATTACAACATATATATTTCACCATGGGAACAATGTCATCACTGTTGGCAGAAAGGACTAACACACATCTTATTGTTAGTTGTGACCAGATTACTAAAAACAGATCCAGATATAAACGTCTACAAAATAACAGTTAACTTTCCAGGCACCTTCTTTGATTTTAAAATTCTTTCGTTAAGTCAGGAGCAAGAAATTTAACCGAGGACACGGGGCCCTGACATTAATGTGTACACAGGATATTTTTTACAGAGGCATTCATTAGTACAGAGTAGAAAGAAGGCACTTTTTGTAAATCCTAACCTATCTATAATCATGTTTTGTGTGGCTGACTTGTAAAGTTACTACCACTAACCTTACCTGTATGTTATCAATGTTAAAGGGGCCCTTAATTTTCTACCTTCTGTTAATATCCAATCAGAATAACCTGTAACATTCACCTTTTGTTATCATACTGGGTACAGAAAAGTCTACACACCAATACCATGTGGGCGTGTTTTTTAACTCTGGTACAAGTATACTTAAACAAAATACATTCAACTAGGGAGACATTACTAGTTTCTATCGAGAAACATTTTATGCCTTTACAATATGAAAGATACAAATAATGTAACCAAAACATTTACAATATTAAAATAATTAAGTGACAAAATCTTCAGTGATTTATGAAATCAATTATATGTTTATGTAAATATTGCACAGTATATTTAGGACAACTGCTACACAAAACATTAAATGTATGAGGTCAATGAAGTGAAAAAGTAAAATCAAACTTATATCTTCTAATGATAATTATGATCTGCCCAATTTTCCTACCCAAGTTCCCAAAAAGTTATTTGTCCTGCCCCATCTTTGATGCTGGGTTAAATACATGCTAGAAATATAAAGTTATTGAAAATTAATTCATTTAAAACGTAAGTATAAAATACAGTATGATAGGAGGAACATCAAAAGGTTAATTATTTTATCTGCATGAGATAAACTATTTTACAGTCATAATAACCTACCTTATTCTCTACTAATAGGTAGCTAATAGACCTAACCCAGGGAAATCCAAAAAAGGCAATGACATAGACGTCTGTGGTAGTGAATATCTATGTTAGTTACTTCCTAAGCACTTAACAGAGCATGCATCACGCCAGCAGATTTTCATATATCATTTTTTGATGGAAGAAACAAATTCAAGATATTGGCGTTCAACTTTCTGAAAATAATTTTTACAAATAAATCAACTAAATGGCACAAGCAAAACTAACCTTATTGTGATTGTATACTTCAGTGCCCTGTGATCATATCACTGAGATCAGGTTGTTAGAAAAGTGGTGAATTTTCGAACAGTTATTGACAGATGCGTAATGGGAACATTTTGATTACCCTGATAGGGATGAATCTGATGAAAAATTGAGCCTTTCAATGTTATCCTTTTCTTCATGCAAGTCTTCCAATCGACTTAGAAATGAAGTTCTTATAACACAACCAGTAGAAGATTAGAGTGTGACATTTAAATGACTACACAGTCACCTTCATTAGAAAATGACCAGTGTGGAGCATACTAGAACTGATGTAACAGTGTATTTGATGGTAAAGAATTGACAACAGTTTTTGGCACCAGTTCGAAGCTTTGATAACCTGGTTCAGCAACAAAACTTCACCAGACAAAAACAGTACACAAACTTATATTAAGTAACCTGTCACTTCAGTGAATATTCAAATAGACAAAACATATGGCACTGATTTTATCTACAAATACATATCTCCAGACCATATGGAGTTTTGATTGAAGCATGTCTCCTGATTATATCGATTTTTAAACATGTATGTAACACTTGTTACATGTTATGAGATTCACTATAAAGTCTGTACTTGTTTTGGGGACTAAAACAAGGAGAGAAAAGAGATTAATATAATGATAAACTACTATAGCAGGACTATTCAAGCTTGTAACGTAAGGGATTGGAAGCAGAGAGATGCAGTGGGTCTCCTACAAACAGAACACTGCAATACATAGTTGCTAAATATACATCACGATAAATATGTTTTACTACACACGGGAACAAAAATAAGAGAAAAGTGAATAAACGCAAGGTATGTGTTTATAACTTCAGTGAAAAAGAGTTGAAAACATGGAGTTATGCTCAACACTTCTGCACTCAAATACCGATCTTAAGTTTCATCAGTAATCCCTAAACACACCAACACCAAATTAATTACATAGTTACATAAAAACAAGGGTCTACCTGAGAACCATGTAGTCTTATATAAATAACATAAATGTGACTATACGTTATCCGTAACAGGTATTCTCTGAAACATTCAACAACATCAGGCCTACCAGATGCACTCCAAATTTCCATTCAGTGATATCACACATGACAGATAAGCTCATAACTTTTGTTTGCTGACATAACATCTACCATGTAAACTCAAAACTATGTCTTCAGTTTCCATTCTCTGACAACACCTAGCAGTGACTCTCAACTGATATCTTACTTACTGGTATTTACATAACTTACTGAAGAATAGCCCTAATACTTTCTGAAAAAGCTACCTTTCATGTGTTGTAAAGTAAGTATCCCAAATCTAACCTTAACACACACACTTTTTCAAATCACCAATGACAGCCATCCCCACGCTGAGAGCAGCTTTACTTAACACACTAACAGAGTATTGGGTCCCAGAAACTCAGCACAGATTAGCATTTAACTGTCAAGTTAGGAATCTACACCAATAATATCTCAAGTAAAATGTATCCTTTTAAGGATATACAACAAAAATATGTTTGATCCTTGGAATGTTCCTGACTTTGATGATGAGATTGCCAAGATATATGACTCTTTTCAACCCAAAACTATGACTTCCTCATTGATAAACTGTACAATGATTTTCATACACGATTACAATTTTAAAGTAAAAGACTGAATGACTATCAAAATACAAAACTTTAAACTTATTCATCATTAAAACCTATTACAGACAAAACACAATATGTTATATATAATCTTTTAAATCGGATATAAGAAAGCTTCTGAACATAATGGCTAGATATTGAACATAAGCACAAACCTATTCCAGATAGGCAGACAGTATCTACATCTGTACATAAAACAGTGTAAATGCAAGTAACTATTCGAGCTAGGTAACCAGGTATTTATTCAGGTAACTATTCGAGCTAGGTAACCGGGTATTTATTCAGGTAACTATTCCAGCTAGGTAACCAGGTATTTATTCAGGTAACTATTTGAGCTAGGTAACCAGGAATTTATTCAGGTAACTATTTGAGCTAGGTAACCAGGTATTTATTCAGGTAACTATGTTAGCTAGGTAACCAGGAATTTATTTAGGTAACTATACCAGTTAGGTAACCAGGAATTTATTCAGGTAACTATTTGAGCTAGGTAACCAGGTATTTATTCAGGTAACTATGTTAGCTAGGTAACCAGGAATTTATTTAGGTAACTATACCAGTTAGGTAACCAGGAATTTATTCAGGTAACTATACCAGTTAGGTAACCAGGTATTTATTCAGGTAACTATTTCAGCTAGGTTACAATGTATTTATTCAGGTAACTCTTTCAGCTAGGTAACCAGGTATTTATTCATGTAACTATTCTAGCTAGGCAACCAAGTATTTATTCCAAATACACAGACAAAATTTGTTTACAGTACCTAAATGTCATCCACACCCTTTAGGTCCCCTTTTGTTTTGTACAGTATGAAGAAATATCCACACAGATCTTAATTCATCACTGACATCCCAAACAAAATCTTTATGTATAAAAGATCTTCTACTCCAAAATCTTTTGGAGCCATAGTTTCAAAATTGTAATTACTTAAAACTTTCATAGCAATTTCTCCAGAATTTTTCATGAATATTCAACCTCACCATCAATATTAACTATGTTTTCTTGGGCGGTTCTGGAATGTAGAGAGGCTTTAAAGCTGCAGGCTTCAAGTGTCTGAAACAGAAAAAGAAACCAGTCATTACAATCTCTGTCCCACAAGTTAACAATCTATAAAGTTACAATACTGTACACAATATATGAATTTGTGTAAGGATAGCATAGATAATTTGTGCATTACAATACATGTTTATATAGGACCAATGGAGAATATGATGTGAGAGATTGTGTTAAAATCTAACCTAAGATGTTATATGGGAAGTCCATATTTCACTGTTATTTTCCTCCACCTGTCAATTTTCACCAAGAACAGCTTATTTTTTGTATGCTGATTTACTAACCTTAGATCATCAAACTGACTTAACCTAGTTCATCACAACTAGTTATAATCCAGTCATACAGGAGTAATACTCACGAATACGCTGATGCAGGAACTCCCACCACTATCACATGACTTCCCTTGATAAAAAGTCGCCACATACTCTGGAAAAACCCAACATGTTTATTGTAATTAGAAATATAGTAGTAAACTTACTTTCCTCTACCCTAAGAAAGTGCAGATTTTCTGACAAAAAACCCAGCAATATTTCAATAAATATTACTAAATAATTCAGAATTGATTACTAATTGGATAGCATCATTAACCATTTCTGTTCCCTTTCACCTGTAACATTAGACAAGTTAAACTGTTGACTTAATTATACTTGTGTACTGTTTTACTGTTTTTTCTTTATCACCAATAGATATATCCTACTACTACATCAATCCCTATGGATTACAGCTCTCACTGTATTTTCATTCATCACTTCTTGATGTGATTTCCTGATGTAATGGAAGGTAAACGCAGAGCAAACCTGTGTAACTTACTTTATGGAAGCCTCGTACATCCAAGTCCCATAAATGGTAGCACTGGAAAAGGTTGATAATTAATTTAGCTGCTGTTGAAAGGTTTTCAACTAAGAATACTGTGTTTATAATGCAGAGCCTTTTTCTTCCCTTAAACATGATTTCTTTATTTAAACACTTTTTGTTACTTACATAGAATATACAATCATTGTTTGAAAAGATATTTCTTAATCTTAACAACTTACATGTATGTACACAATATCTAAATAATCTGTAGTGCATGTTTATTAAGCGTTTCAGTGTAATAATACCTTAGCAAGTTGTTTCCAGGTAACAAAATCTGTCGTAGTGTTCATGGTTATATACATCACAAATGTTTCATCCTGAAAAGATATCAATCATAATAACGCTGATTATCTAATAAAAGCTGAAAATTCAGAGATTTCATTCAAATGTACTAACAGGTCTTTCAACATCAACTGCATCAAATAGAATTTTACTCACGCTGACTTTGGGTATAAAGTCTTCGGAACAAGGATCTTTGGAATGATCTAATGTCTTTGCAGACTTTATGATGTTTTTCACTAAATCTTCATATTCATCTCTTTTCATTCTGAAATTAATAACAATAGATTAAAAAAGACAGAATTATCAATTTTACTAGTTATTGGTGAAAGTTTGATCATGTGGAATTGTTCAAGTTTCAATATCAAACTTAAAACTGGAATAATCTGTAAGTTCTTATATCAACAATAAAATGCAGTAAGAAATCTTTATGACAAATATTCATTGCTATGTCTCAGTTTTACATTCTAAGCTGTAGAAAACTTTTTCAAATTTATTGGAAATACTTAAGAATGATGTAGCCAGCTGATTATATATATTAGTTTACTACCATGACAGGCACTCAGCAACAGAATACCATGAATGAAAGAAATAGCAAAGTTCTAGAAAATATAACTTACTTGTCTAAATCTTTTAACTTGACATTTGGGGTTTTTAAAAGTGAATGATTTTTGAAGTAAACATCCTGAAAGTATGGATTCATGTTGAGCCCTTTTGAGCCAAAGTGGTATGTCCGAGAGATGTCCGGTATGATGCATTCACGGTTCTTCCTTATATGGTTAGTCCTCAGCCACATGTCCCAGTCCCATAACTGAAATGATTAGAGTTTTATGTCCAGAGTTACTTCCCTTCATTTGACTGTGGAGAGTTGGGTGATAAGTCTGATGTAGCATATTTACTTCCCTTTGTTTGACTCTGGAACCTTAGGTGATAAGTCTGATGAACCATAATTACTTCCCTTCAGTACACTCTAGAGCCTGAGGTGATAATTATAATGTACCAGAGTTAATTCCCTTTGTTTGACTCTGGAACCTTAGGTGATAAGTCTGATGAACCATAATTACTTCCCTTCAGTACACTCTAGAGCCTGAGGTGATAATTATAATGTACCAGAGTTAATTCCCTTTGTTGGAATCTGGAACCTTAGGTGATAAGTCTGATGAACCATAATTACTTCCCTTCAGTACACTCTAGAGCCTGAGGTGATAATTATAATGTACCAGAGTTAATTCCCTTTGTTTGACTCTGGAACCTTAGGTGATAAGTCTGATGAACCATAATTACTTCCCTTCAGTACACTCTAGAGCCTGAGGTGATAATTATAATGTACCAGAGTTAATTCCCTTTGTTTGACTCTGGATCCTTAGGTGATAAGTCTGATGAACTATAATTACTTCCCTTCAGTACACTCTAGAGCCTGAGGTGATAATTATAATGTACCAGAGTTAATTCCCTTTGTTTGAATCTGGAACCTTAGGTGATAAGTCTGATGAACCATAATTACTTCCCTTCAGTACACTCTAGAGCATGAGGTGATAATTTTAATGTACCAGAGTTACATCCCTTTGTTTAGTTCTGGAACCATCTGAACATCAATAGCTTATGTAATCATAGTGTACATAATGCATATGGACCACTAACACCAGCCAATTTATGCAACCTGATAACTGCATTACATGCTTGCTAATGATGGACAAGTAGTAGAAAATTTAACAGTTTTTGGGTTTTTATTTTGTTTTGTTTTTTGTTTTTATTTGCAGGTTTAGTTAAATAGAACAACATGTATTCCTGAAGTTAGAAACATTTTCATAGTCCTTCCTAACCTCCCTGAACTTTTAATGCTCATTCAATACAGACTACACTAGACAATGAAGATACATGTAACTAAAATATAGAAACATTTCTTTCAATCTCCACTACTAAACCTCACCTTTTCTGGTGTCGGCCACTGGGATTCTAACTCTCCCTTGTATAGTTTTCGCTTCAGCAACCATCCAAGCCCAGGCATAGTCTCCACCCGGTACAATAGTGACGGGTCTTTACAGGAATGTTGATACCCCTTAAAATGATAAAGATTTGTTACAGATTCTATCACTACATACAACCAGGATGTGAATATTTTTACACAATATTGTAGGGCAGGACCTTACAGGGATGGTTATACCCTTCCTACAACAAGGATATCTACAGACACAGTACAGGTGGGAAGGTCCTTACAGGACTGGTTATACCCTACCTACAACAAGGATATCGACAGACACAGTACAGGTGGACAGGTCCTTACAGGACTGGTTATACCCTACCTACAACAAGGATATCTACAGACACAGTACAGGTGGGCAGGTCCTTACAGGACTGGTTATACCCTACCTACAACAAGGATATCTACACACACAGTACAGGTCCTTACAGGACTGGTTATACCCTACCTACAACAAGGATATCTACAGACACAGTACAGGTGGGCAGGTCCTTACAGGACTGGTTATACCCTACCTACAACAAGGATATCTACAGACACAGTACAGGTGGGCAGGTCCTTACAGACTGGTTATACCCTACCTACAACAAGGATATCTACAGACACAGTACAGGTCCTTACAGGACTGGTTATACCCTACCTACAACAAGGATATCTACATACACAGTACAGGTGGGCAGGTCCTTACAGGACTGGTTATACCCTACCTACAACAAGGATATCTACAGACACAGTACAGGTGGGCAGGTCCTTACAGGACTGGTTATACCCTACCTACAACAAGGATATCTACAGACACAGTACAGGTGGGCAGGTCCTTACAGGACTGGTTATACCCTACCTACAACAAGGATATCTCTACACACCCAGTACAGGTCCTTACAGGACTGGTTATACCCTACCTACAACAAGGATATCTACAGACACAGTACAGGTGGGCAGGTCCTTACAGGACTGGTTATACCCTACCTACAACAAGGATATCTACACACACAGTACAGGTGGGCAGGTCCTTACAGGACTGGTTATACCCTACCTACAACAAGGATATCTACACACACAGTACAGGTGGGCAGGTCCTTACAGGACTGGTTATACCCTACCTACAACAAGGATATCTACAGACACAGTACAGGTGGGCAGGTCCTTACAGGACTGGTTATACCCTACCTACAACAAGGATATCTACAGACACAGTACAGGTGGGCAGGTCCTTACAGGACTGGTTATACCCTACCTACAACAAGGATATCTACACACACAGTACAGGTGGGCAGGTCCTTACAGGACTGGTTATACCCTACCTACAACAAGGATATCTACACACACAGTACAGGTGGGCAGGTCCTTACAGGACTGGTTATACCCTACCTACAACAAGGATATCTACAGACACAGTACAGGTGGGCAGGTCCTTAAACAATAAGTACAACAAGGATATCTACACACACAGGTGGGCACAGGTATACCCTACCTACAACAAGGATATCTACAGACACAGTACAGGTGGGCAGGTCCTTACAGGATATACAACCTACACACACTACAACAAGGATATCTACACACACAGTACAGGTGGGCAGGTCCTTACAGGACTGGTTATACCCTACCTACAACAAGGATATCTACAGACACAGTACAGGTGGGCAGGTCCTTACAGGACTGGTTATACCCTACCTACAACAAGGATATCTACAGACTCAGTACAGGTGGGCAGGTCCTTACAGGACTGGTTATACCCTACCTACAACAAGGATATCTACACACACAGTACAGGTGGGCAGGTCCTTACAGGACTGGTTATACCCTACCTACAACAAGGATATCTACAGACACAGTACAGGTGGGTCCTTACAGGACTGGTACAACAAGGATATCTACACACACAGGACTGGTTATACCCTACCTACAACAAGGATATCTACACACACAGTACAGGTGGGCAGGTACACACCTTACAGGACTGGTTATACCCTACCTACAACAGGTGGGCAGGTCCTTAAGGATATCTACAGATATCTACACACACAGTACAGGTGACTGGTTATACCCTACCTACAACAAGGATATCTACACACACAGTATAGGTCCTTACAGGACTGGTTATACCCTACCTACAACAAGGATATCTACACACACAGTACAGGTGGGCAGGTCCTTACAGGACTGGTTATACCCTACCTACAACAAGGATATCTACAGACACAGTACAGGTGGGCAGGTCCTTACAGGACTGGTTATACCCTACCTACAACAAGGATATCTACAGACACAGTACAGGTGGGCAGGTCCTTACAGGACTGGTTATACCCTACCTACAACAAGGATATCTACAGACTCAGTACAGGTCCTTACAGGACTGGTTATACCATACTTACAACAAGGATATCTACACACACAGTACAGGTGGGCAGGTCCTTACAGGACTGGTTATACCCTACCTACAACAAGGATATCTACACACACAGTACAGGTGGGCAGGTCCTTACAGGACTGGTTATACCCTACCTACAACAAGGATATCTACAGACACAGTACAGGTGGGCAGGTCCTTACAGGACTGGTTATACCCTACCTACAACAAGGATATCTACACACACAGTACAGGTGGGCAGGTCCTTACAGGACTGGTTATACCCTACCTACAACAAGGATATCTACACACACAGTACAGGTGGGCAGGTCCTTACAGGACTGGTTATACCCTACCTACAACAAGGATATCTACACACACAGTACAGGTCCTTACAGGACTGGTTATACCATACTTACAACAAGGATATCTACACACACAGTACAGGTGGGCAGGTCCTTACAGGACTGGTTATACCCTACCTACAACAAGGATATCTACACACACAGTATAGGTCCTTACAGGACTGGTTATACCCTACCTACAACAAGGATATCTACACACACAGTACAGGTGGGCAGGTCCTTACAGGACTGGTTATACCCTACCTACAACAAGGATATCTACACACACAGTACAGGTGGGCAGGTCCTTACAGGACTGGTTATACCCTACCTACAACAAGGATATCTACAGACACAGTACAGGTGGGCAGGTCCTTACAGGACTGGTTATACCATACTTACAACAAGGATATCTACACACACAGTACAGGTGGGCAGGTCCTTACAGGACTGGTTATACCCTACCTACAATAAGGATATCTACAGACACAGTACAGGTGGGCAGGTCCTTACAGGACTGGTTATACCCTACCTACAACAAGGATATCTACACACACAGTACACACACAGGTGGGCAGGTCCTTACAGGACTGGTTATACCCTACCTACAACAAGGATATCTACAGACACAGTACAGGTGGGCAGGTCCTTACAGGACTGGTTATACCCTACCTACAACAAGGATATCTACAGACACAGTACAGGTGGGCAGGTCCTTACAGGACTGGTTATACCCTACCTACAACAAGGATATCTACACACACAGTACAGGTGGGCAGGTCCTTACAGGACTGGTTATACCCTACCTACAACAAGGATATCTACACACACAGTACAGGTGGGCAGGTCCTTACAGGACTGGTTATACCCTACCTACAACAAGGATATCTACAGACACAGTACAGGTGGGCAGGTCCTTACAGGACTGGTTATACCCTACCTACAACAAGGATATCTACACACACAGTACAGGTGGGCAGGTCCTTACAGGACTGGTTATACCCTACCTACAACAAGGATATCTACAGACACAGTACAGGTGGGCAGGTCCTTACAGGACTGGTTATACCCTACCTACAACAAGGATATCTACACACACAGTACAGGTGGGCAGGTCCTTACAGGACTGGTTATACCCTACCTACAACAAGGATATCTACAGACACAGTACAGGTGGGCAGGTCCTTACAGGACTGGTTATACCCTACCTACAACAAGGATATCTACACACACAGTACAGGTGGGCAGGTCCTTACAGGACTGGTTATACCCTACCTACAACAAGGATATCTACACACACAGTACAGGTGGGCAGGTCCTTACAGGACTGGTTATACCCTACCTACAACAAGGATATCTACAGACACAGTACAGGTGGGCAGGTCCTTACAGGACTGGTTATACCCTACCTACAACAAGGATATCTACACACACAGTACAGGTGGGCAGGTCCTTACAGGACTGGTTATACCCTACCTACAACAAGGATATCTACAGACACAGTACAGGTGGGCAGGTCCTTACAGGACTGGTTATACCCTACCTACAACAAGGATATCTACACACACAGTACAGGTGGGCAGGTCCTTACAGGACTGGTTATACCCTACCTACAACAAGGATATCTACAGACACAGTACAGGTGGGCAGGTCCTTACAGGACTGGTTATACCCTACCTACAACAAGGATATCTACACACACAGTACAGGTGGGCAGGTCCTTACAGGACTGGTTATACCCTACCTACAACAAGGATATCTACAGACACAGTACAGGTCCTTACAGGACTGGTTATACCCTACCTACAACAACAAGGATATCTACAGTACAGGTGGGCAGGTCCTTACAGGACTGGTTATACCCTACCTACAACAAGGATATCTAAAGACACAGAACATGTGGGCAGGACCAAACATGACAGGTAATACCCTACCTACAACAAGGATATCTACAGACACAGTACAGGTGGGCAGGTCCTTACAGGACTGGTTATACCCTACCTACAACAAGGATATCTACAGACACAGTACAGGTCCTTACAGGACTGGTTATACCCTACCTACAACAAGGATATCTACAGACACAGTACAGGTGGGCAGGTCCTTACAGGACTGGTTATACCCTACCTACAACAAGGATATCTACACACACAGTACTGGTCCTTACAGGATTGGTTATACCCTACCTACAACAAGGATATCTACAGACACAGTACAGGTGGGCAGGTCCTTACAGGACTGGTTATACCCTACCTACCTATTTTTTTATAATGTGTAGTGTATTTGTACCTTATGTCATGAGATTTATGAAGTCTTACCAATATTATTATTACTATCTAATATGCTTTACTGCCATACATTGTTCTCATTTTTTCCCATTCGTTTTTGTGAATATTTTGATTTTTCAATATAAAATCATGCCAATTCTATGAGAAACATTTGTACAGAGCCATATGTGTGACCATCCAACTAGGTTTGAAGAAGCAAATTCCCATCCTGTATTAATGATTCAATATTATTGAGAATCATTTGAGACTTAAAATGAAATCATTTGAGAAGGGAGCCTTTGTAAAATAAAAGTATATCAAACACAAATATTTGTATCACAGACAATTATCTTTTGTCTAAACCACACAGGTGTATCTCTATAGACTTGTCATGTATCTTATTGTATCTAATGGTCATTTGTAAATGTTTGTCATGTTTTAGTTGTATTTTATAGTCATTTGTACATGTTAACCCATTTTTTACTGATTTAGCAACAAGACAGCATCACACAGAATAGGAACCATCACCCTAACTTGAACATTGTGCTCAAAATCATAGATTTCAAAGCATTTTCATACAGTATCCTTAACAACAGTAGCACACTGCTTGAAAGTGAAAGTAGATTAAAATGTCTTTTACTCATATCAAATTATATCTAAAATAATCTAAGAACTGTATACTGTAAATTGTCTTTAATGAGGTAATAACTTTACTAAGCTCTGTTGTTTAATTTGTCATAGAAATATAAAAAAGATTAGTAGAATCTGTTGCTCATTTCCAGCACCTGCTGATTCCAGAAGGACAAGAGATGTATCAACACTGTGTTATATGTAAATACATTTGGAAACACCCCCTGGACTTACCTTGAATGAAATACATCCTTACCATTGGAAGAATATAATCACACCATAAGGCAGTGCAAACCTAGTGTTTTTACAATTTCATGTGTGTACTTTCAACCAGTGGCAAAAGACATATTTCAACGATCTACTTGTCAAAACAGCTCAGACGACAACATACCTGACTCCTTTAGTATATTGTAGACACACAAATGGATAGCACCTTGCAATAAAAAATTAGTTTGCTACAGAAGGACCAAATAATGAGTTAGTCTACATCATACAGATGTTTCATCTTTCTAGGACTTTTGATCACAAGGACCTAACGTGTTAAAGAGTAACTAGTTCAGAGGACTGTCTTCATAAAAAGTCAGGAACAGCTTTATAGACAGGGACTCAGTGTAATGAAGATGCTGATACCAGACAAGTAAGGAGCTGTTTATGGACTAATAATGTTAAGAAACCTTCATGACAATGAGAAGGATAACCAACAACATTTAACACCAACATAACCTGGGTCATACAAATTACCCATCTACCTGAATCAGATTTCGTAATGGATTTACCATAAGTGAATGGTTACCATATGGAGTCACAGATTGAGAACATTGAAACCGCATGTATAGCCTGGTAAGCATTAAATAAACTCAAAGTAACATGTAATATACTAAGTCATCTGTCCTGTAATAAAAGTAATAAATGTTAATTTAACTGCTGAGCATAATATCATATAAGTAAACATAGTTACAGCTACTTTCACTTTCAAACTACTGTGCTGCTGCTTAGTAAACTAGTTAAGTACTTTTAAGTACACATATCAGCTTAGATAACAAAAAAATTAGGACATGAAAAAAAAACATATTTTCCAAATACTTTCAGGTCTCTTGGTTGCATGTATGCAGACATATTATATATTATTCATATGGGCCTTTAAGCCTTCATGTTTATACATCCTTACTTTCTTTCCATATTCTTTTATTGGATTTTCTGTCTGTACTTCTATACAGTGTATTGCTATACTGTACTCACCATGATGATGCCACACCTAACACAAGCTATACTGTACTCACCATGATGATGCCACACCTAACACAAGCTATACTGTACTCACCATGATGATGCCACACCTAACACAAGCTATACTGTACTCACCATGATGATGCCACACCTAACACAAGCTATACTGTACTCACCATGATGATGTCACACCTAACACAAGCTATACTGTACTCACCATGATGATGCCACACCTAACACAAGCTATACTGTACTCACCATGATGATGCCACACCTAACACAAGCTATACTGTACTCACCATGATGATGCCACACCTAACACAAGCTATACTGTACTCATCATGATGATGCCACACCTAACACAAGCTATACTGTACTCACCATGATGATGCCACACCTAACACAAGCTATACTGTACTCACCATGATGATGCCACACCTAACACAAGCTATACTGTACTCACCATAATGATGCCACACCTAACACAAGCTATACTGTACTCACCATGACATATCACACCTTGTTACCTATCTTGACTTACCTGGTCATTCCATGCTGATATACAGTACACTGTGGGGTCCTACTTCTAACAGAAACTATACTGTTCTCACCATGATTATGCCACACCTTGTTACCTATCTTGGCTTACCTGGTCATTCCATGCTGATATACAGTACACTGTGGGGTCCTACTTCTAACAGAAACTATATTGTTCTCACCATGATGATGCCACACCTTGTTACCTATCTTGACTTACCTGGTCATTCCATGCTGATATACAGTACACTGTGGGGTCCTACTTCTAACAGAAACTATACTGTTCTCACCATGATGATGCCACACCTTGTTACCTATCTTGACTTACCTGGTCATTCCATGCTGATATACAGTACACTGTGGGGTCCTACTTCTAACAGAAACTATACTGTTCTCACCATGATGATGCCACACCTTGTTACCTATCTTGACTTACCTGGTCATTCCATGCTGATATACAGTACACTGTGGGGTCCTACTTCTAACAGAAACTATACTGTTCTCACCATGATGATGCCACACCTTGTTACCTATCTTGACTTACCTGGTCATTCCATGCTGATATACAGTACACTGTGGGGTCCTACTTCTAACAGAAACTATACTGTACTCACCATGATGATGCCACACCTTGTTACCTATCTTGACTTACCTGGTCATTCCATGCTGATATACAGTACACTGTGGGGTCCTACTTCTAACAGAAACTATACTGTACTCACCATGATGATGCTACACCTTGTTACCTATCTTGACTTACCTGGTCATTCCATGCTGATATACAGTACACTGTGGGGTCCTACTTCTAACAGAAACTATACTGTACTCACCATGATGATGCCACACCTTGTTACCTATCTTGACTTACCTGGTCATTCCATGCTGATATACAGTACACTGTGGGGTCCTCCTCCAGCAGAAACTTTGTCTGGCTGAAGTAACTGTAACAGTAACACATCAACAATTAGCTCTTCCTGTTTACTATAAGTAAAGTTTCATCCTGGTAATACATCATACTACCTTTCCCAAATCTCATATTGATATTGCTTCAGAAGTCTGTGCTGTAAATCTGACCTTTGTATTACAACAGGGACCACCACTGCTTGAAATTTTACTATGTAACAAATGTGTTAGAAGGATGAAGTTTCATAAAAGTGTACCAGAACTCAAATAAATATATGTGTATGTATGCAACAAGCCATCAGCTTATATTAATCACTTTCATTGTCCAAGATGAAAACACACGAGGATCTTACTGTGAGAGGAAACCAGAGTACCTACAGAAAACACACATGGTTGTGCAGGTGACCTCTATACCTTTGTCAGCTCAGAGAATCAAACCCCAGACCTATAGGTGAAAGGCATGCCTGTTATCACTATGCCATCTGTGGTTAAGTCAGAGGTCACTAAGGATTGATAACATGATCTCTTATTAGTGATCTGACACACACTTGCTTTATTACAGTTTTTGTCAACACATTTCTTCACAAATAACTTACTTGACTGGCTTTTTGAAAAATACCTACTTAAAGAAATCAGGGCTGACATCTAAATCTTCTTCTAAGACAATGGCATACTTTGAATCCTGAAAATAAAAGCATAGTTTTATAAATTATACAAAGAAACAAATTGTATTGCATTGATTTATTCTAAAACTAAAGCAGGTAGTCAGAAAGTGTACAGGTAATATTTTAAAGAGTTTCAAAAATTTCTGTACACTTGAAACATATGATTTTAAGATGTCTGTGTCCTTAAGAAGTAGAAGTTAACTTGGCTGTAGACTTACCATATAGAGGTTGAAGATTGCTGTGAGACTAGCTTTGTAGTGCTGTGATATCCTAGCTGCCTTTATACCTAAAGGTGTGTGTTGTATTCCTTTGAGGCCCAGCAGTGTGGTTACAGCCAATGGTTCCTGTGATAAAGTAAACAGAGGTGTATATCATTGAAAAGGTAACTAGTAACATAGTGACAGTGTAATTACAGCCAATGGTTCCTGTGATAAACAGAGGTGTATCTCACTGAAAAGGTAACTAGTAACATAGTGACAGTGTGGTTACAGCCAATGGTTCCTGTGATAAACAGAGGTGTATCTCACTGAAAAGGTAACTAGTAACATAGTGACAGTGTGGTTACAGCCAATGGTTCCTGTGATAAATTAAACAGAGGTGTATATCACTGAAAAGGTAACTAGTAACATAGTGACAGTGTGGTTACAGCCAATGGTTCCTGTGATAAATTAAACAGAGGTGTATATCACTGAAAAGGTAACTAGTAACATAGTGACAGTGTGGTTATAGTCAATGGTTCCTGTGATAAATTAAACAGAGGTGTATCTCACTGAAAAGGTAACTAGTAACATAGTGACAGTGTGGTTATAGTCAATGGTTCCTGTGATAAATTAAACAGAGGTGTATCTCACTGAAAAGGTAACTAGTAACATAGTGACAGTGTGGTTACAGCCAATGGTTCCTGTGATAAACAGAGGTGTATCTCACTGAAAAGGTAACTAGTAACATAGTGACAGTGTGGTTACAGCTAATGGTTCCTGTGATAAATTAAACAGAGGTGTACAATGGTTCCTGTGATAAATTAAACAGAGGTGTATCTCACTGAAAAGGTAACTAGTAACATAGTGACAGTGTGGTTACAGCCAATGGTTCCTGTGATAAATTAAACAGAGGTGTATATCACTGAAAAGGTAACTAGTAACATAGTGACAGTGTGGTTAAATGATAAACAGAGGTGTATCTCACTGAAAAGGTAACTAGTAACATAGTGACAGTGTGGTTACAGCTAATGGTTCCTGTGTGAAAAGGTAACTAGTAACATAGTGACAGTGTGGTTACAGCTAATGGTTCCTGTGATAAATTAAACAGAGGTGTATCTCACTGAAAAGGTAACTAGTAACATAGTGACAGTGTGGTTACAGCTAATGGTTCCTGTGATAAATTAAACAGAGGTGTATCTCACTGAAAAGGTAACTAGTAACATAGTGACAGTGTGGTTACAGCTAATGGTTCCTGTGATAAATTAAACAGAGGTGTATATCACTGAAAAGGTAACTAGTAACATAGTGACAGTGTGGTTACAGCTAATGGTTCCTGTGATAAATTAAACAGAGGTGTATCTCACTGAAAAGGTAACTAGTAACATAGTGACAGTGTGGTTATAGTAAGTTCCTGTGATAAATTGGTTCCTGTGATAAATTAAACAGAGGTGTATCTCACTGAAAAGGTAACTAGTAACATAGTGACAGTGTGGTTACAGCTAATGGTTCCTGTGATAAATTAAACAGAGGTGTATATCACTGAAAAGGTAACTAGTAACATAGTGACAGTGTGGTTACAGCTAATGGTTCCTGTGATAAATTAAACAGAGGTGTATCTCACTGAAAAGGTAACTAGTAACATAGTGACAGTGTGGTTACAGCTAATGGTTCCTGTGATAAATTAAACAGAGGTGTATCTCACTGAAAAGGTAACTAGTAACATAGTGACAGTGTGGTTACAGCTAATGGTTCCTGTGATAAATTAATGAAAAGGTAACTAGTCATAGTGACAGTGTGTTGATAAATTAAACAGAGGTGTATATCACTGAAAAGGTAACTAGTAACATAGTGACAGTGTGGTTACAGCTAATGGTTCCTGTGATAAATTAAACAGAGGTGTATCTCACTGAAAAGGTAACTAGTAACATAGTGACATTCAATGGTTTGTTATCAATTGTTTGTAACATTGACAGTGTGGAATTACTTATCAGGGTATATTGAAAAGGTAACTAGTAACATAGTGACAGTGTGGTTTCTCTCCTGTGATAAATTAAACAGAGGTGTATCTCACTGAAAAGGTAACTAGTAACATAGTGACAGTGTGGTTACAGCCAATGGTTCCTGTGATAAACAGAGGTGTATATCACTGAAAAGGTGACTGGTAACATAGTGACAGCTACCATTAGATGATGTCTGTTGTTGATATACATTATCATGTATTCTTGAATTCTAAATTATTTCTTTTCGACAGGATTTCCATTAATGTCATTCTTGTTATCAATTGTTTGTTTTGGAATTACTTATCAGGGTTTGTATACAGGATTGTTCTCTCCTTACAGCTTTTCCATCCTAACTTTCAAGCTTGTTTATAAATAAACAACAACATCAATTTCAGCTAGGAGAGCTGGAAAATCATCTGTCATTTTGTAACTAATCTAAATTTTGCTACGATGAATTCAAATGTCTTGTATATTTTGTCATGCTGTTTTCATATTATTTCAAATAACTCATACTATAACAAGTATGAAATACATAACCAGAATCTGTTGATATTATTGGTCTGTACTTGTCCTTCATTGATATATTGCACTACAAGATGAGAACATGATATCATGATCATATAAGAATAAGCTTTGGGTAAGTAGTATGTGTTTTCCTTAAAATCATCATATTTAGATTGATGAACAGTATGATTTTCTCCTTTGGTTGATAGTACAACAAATATTAACAGATTGACAATATAGTTAATTATAAAAGTATCATCATTAACCTGCTTTCTTCACATTTGACCATTTTTACGACGGGGCTCACACTGAAATATTCTTTTGAAAATAAAATTGTTTTCTGTTTTTTCTCAAATGTGCAAATAAAACATCAAACTATAGATGTGATATTTTCATCTAGGATTTCTTTTTATTGCGCTCCTCAAAACTTTTTTTCATTTTTGAAAGGAGTTACTTCCCTTCCACCACTAACCTTTTTTTGCCTGTCAATTTTATTTGATATTTAATAGATGGACAATTCACTATGATATGCAGAATGAAGGAAATTATCTGAATGTACCAAAATATGAATGTAAAAGTAAAAAAAAACAGTATTATGAACAACAGATTTTTGAAGCATTACACTACTCAAACATTGATTTAAAGCTGTATTGTTAACCTAATCACCACCAATAAAACAAGGCAGAGTCTCAAACATATGTTTTATATCACTGATAACAAATTGTCTGTAACATGGCCAGAAACTTAAAGCTGCACTTTATCAAATCATTGTAGAATTTAATGCCTATGAGTTTAATACTGAAAACAACTAACAGAAGATAAACAGCACACTATTAACACAGAATTAGGAGCCCAGGTGGCACAGAGTTTGGGAGATGAATCATGGAAAATTAAAAGAGTTATTTCCTCAAATTATCGAATATACATACTGTTACAACTAGTGCAATGCTAATATCTTAGACTGATTTCACACTATAAATATCACATCTAATCCATACATTACTAACGATAATATGTGAAAAAAAATGATTAAGTAACTCAGGTTTCCTTCCTTTATATCAGCGTGAGCCCTGGCACGGTTCTCGATACGGGAGGCCTCCTCGTGGCGAGAACTGGACAGTCACATTAATCATCTAATGGTGATGTGACTGACTAACATCCCGACTCATTTACACTTTCAGTTGTTTTAAGTGTATCAGGTATTTAAAAGTGGTCTTACATGTAAATTTTACCCTTGAATCCTATTTACATCTACTGATAATTCTCAATCTTTGAAAAATTTGAAAAACTGTACATGAAATTCTTACATCACATTTTACCTCTCAGTCTTGTTTATTTCTCAATCCTTGAAATATTTTTCTCTGTTCCAATACTATTTTGAGCTTACAGTTTGCTGTACATCAAATACCTAATATCACATTTTACCTCATAGTATCCATCGATGAACACAGTCACCATATTAGGATCAGCACCAGGAGTAGACAGCAGGGTGCGTAGCATTCTGAGGGAAAAAAGTTTTAACATATATAAGGTGGTTCATGAAATTTCTCATAACACATGACAAACCAGGTATTTATACAGTAAAACATTTCTACATGCAGTTTACCAACGATCCTATATGTAGGTACTTGTGTGTAAGAAATATGTATTTTTCCTTTTCACTTGAGACAGATTAAAGACTGAATGTTAAATTTTATACCTGTATATAAATTACTATGATGTACTTGTTTATTTTAATATCTTACCTGTACAAGTAATATGGTTGATAATATACCTGACAAGTAATATGGTTGATAATATACCTGACAAGTAATATGGTTGATAATTAACCTGTACAAGTAATATGGTTGATAATTAACCTGTACAAGTAATATGGTTGATAAAATACCTGTACAAATAATGTGGTTGAAAACTTACCTGTACAATTAATATGTTGGATTACTTACCTGTACAAATAATTTGGTCGATTGCTGGCGATCACCACCACAGGCACATCAGCTATATTGTTGTTTTCCAACTAAAAAGTTTGAAGTGAGTTTATTATAATGATATTTTTAGAAAAAATCTCGATTTTTCAATCAATGAACAAAGAGCAACTTAAAATCCAATCATTTTTTTTTAATACATGTACAAATGTATTCAATAACAGTGATTTTCATGTTAAGTTAACAAATCATTCTCTGTGCCATCAAATAGATTCACACATCGTTATCAAATCCATTTGCTCATATACTAACATGGTAAGGTAAGAAGGAGATGGACTCCGGGTCTGTACAGCTACAGGTAGGTCCATAGCCCTCAAACTTGTTACAAAATGTCTGCCTTCTCTTGTTTTCTGGAGTGTCTGGCCAAGGGCATTCACTTTCTGTAAACATGTAAATCACATACCATATCAGGTGTCTACTTTCTGTTTACATATACAGTTCATTATGTAGCACTTACTTTTTGTTTACATATAAAATACACGAGCATACATACCGAGGTTTTCTAAATGCTTCTACCAATTTATTGGACATCATGTACTGAATACAGGGTAGATTTAATGCAGTTTAAATTGTGCCTGTTTTGCTCCATACAAAGCATATACAAGTGAAATTACACCCAAAGAGCAAATATTTTGTTTGGTAAAATTGTCAGTGTATGCAGTATAAATGCTGCCTGTTTCAGTGTAGAAATTGTTCACACTGTAGATGTCTTCATTTACCATTTTCTTAACAAACTTTATACAATTGTAAAGCTTTGGTTAAAATTGTTTATTTCTATCTATATCACCATACCTTTCAATGCCACCAGAGGGATCTTGGTTTGGATAGAGACTTTTTCTGCCCAGGTAGAAAAGTCTGGAGCCTTAGCATGTGTCTCACCTATCACTTTTCCTGTAATACAAATATAACAAGTAAAATCTGCCCACAAATGTGTCAACAAAACCAAACATATTTACCTTTTTTTTCTCATTTTAAACATAGAGTAAAACACAGATAAGTCAAAGTCGATGGGACCAAATGAGATGTTTGACTTATCCAATGGTTCTCTGAATGGAGATGTTGTACATCGAAGATTGGTCCTATTTTCATTGTTTGTTTACCGGATTGTGTCTCAGAGCATGTAGTGACAGTAATGAATAAGTTATAAATAAATAAAAACATTTTGTAATTTTATACACTAACAATATCCTTTATTTCAATAAACAGATATAAGTATGAATATCAAATGATAAATGTAATGTAAAACGCGTGGATACCACTCTCACACATATAACTTACCAAGTATGGTTTTTTTTCATGAATGAAAATATTTTAAGATAAAAATGCATCCTTTCATTTAAACTTGTGTTTTGGTATTTGTTGTGTTTGTTCAGGTAGAAATATTGTGTCAACAACATTACATAGTCAATATAACCCACCACGCATGATTTGAAGTCTTAATGTATCCAAGTTTATTTGGTAGTCCCTTGAACTTCGAAACATATAAGTTTGACTGTATATACAAAATGTATGAATGAATACATGTGTTGATAAGTAGTAATTGTTTAACTGAATCATAAAATTAATTAGTAACAGCTTATTATTTTCAGGAGTGACAAAACTGGTCCTTGACCTTCTTAAAGAAATGGAAAAGACCTTGACCTTTGACAAGAGTTTTTTTCACCCCTGCTGCTTGACTTCACTAGACATACTTAACCTTTGTCCATAACAAAACATCACACTGAATTTTGTCTCCTGCAGAAATCTTCATCCTACATTTGCAAATCCTAATTTTACTGGACCTTACCTTTGCCCTTGACTGTTACAAAGCACCAGGTATCCCTGTAGCCTAAGAACTCTATCTTCTCACTCCCCATAGCACCCAGGTATTCACGGGCAGGTTTTTTCAGGGACAGAGACCCCTCATCCTAAGCAAGGGAAGAGAGCATTGATTCATGATTTGTTTCTGAATATTTTAAATAAATAAGCACATAATGAATACAAGGATTTGTAATTATTGCTATAAAAAATGTAATAATAACATAAAAAACTGTAATTAGCACAATCATATTTTAGTACAATACCTTCATCACAAAAGTGCTAAAATAAGATTATTCCTAATTCATGTTTGCTGAGTTTTAGTGTAACAATTATGGGAGTGGCCCTACACTTCAAATCTCATCAGAAAGAGCTATTTACATAGACTTATAACAAGACAGTTGTTAAAAATTAAAGACAGCATTGTAATTACTACAATGTATTCATTGAAAGTCTGCTCAAGTACCTTGATTGTAAATATTAAGATGCGCCCTTTTCTGATGCTGGTCAAGTAATTGATCATTGCCACATCCTCATGAGCACTGTATGTATCAAAAAATGTCCTGGACATCACACTTCCCTTTAAATAAAACATCAGTAAGGTATTCAATATTTCTAGGTGCCAAAACAAAAAGTATGAAAACATTTGCATCCTGCTTTAAAATGAAATATTTATTTCGGTCACAGTTTTCTCTACTTCATAACATTTTGGGATTATCACTATCAGAGTTGCTAAAAAACAAGTGATATGTGTATTTTAAGTTTTCAAATTCATGGATTCATTCAAATATATGAGAATAAGGTTTACAGTTTCACAGGTGACACTTTTGTTCAGAAGCATCTGTGATCTTTTTGAAAAATAAACTTTACCGTAGCCTGGTTAAGGACAGCAATGTGGATTCCCCGAGACTTGTCAGGTTCATCATCCTGTAAAACCTAAAACACAAAATATAACACTGTACAGGTTCTCTTATCACTGATATGTTCTCTAACTAATAAGATGTTCTTTAATTAACTACAAGTTCACTTATTGATGACAAGTTTTCTTATTAATGACATACAGGTATTCTGTTATCAAGAACATGTTCTCTCATAGATAACATAATCAGACCTTGGTAGGGTAATGCTAAGTTATGAATATGAACTAAATCTGCCCCCAGGTTAATGAGATATCTTAATCACAACATTATCATGGATGTATACACAAAGGACGTATAGACATACAGACAAAGTTATTACTATAGAGACCCGCCCTTCACCTTACCTAAGTAGGGAGCGGTATAATTAATAGCAGGTCCTCGTGCATCATACTAAGTGCTTGCCTCTTTATTATGCTGATGGTAGTGACTCTATACAGAGTCACATTGATACTTAACAACATGTATTTGGATGAGTAAGAGTAGATTGTTTTGTGGGTACTGTAGCCATGGCGATATTTTTAAGAATGTTTTTAAATAGTTTCGACAACTAATCATCATTGTCCAAAGAAAGTATAAATATACTGTGTCTGGGGAACTGTAACTAGGGTGATATCATGGGGTCACATGATCACATTATTCATAGAGTATTGCAATATATGTGACGAAAATACATCAGAAAAAATTCAGATAACACATATTACATGTTTTTTTCTGAGTACACATTTTCTCAGTAGTTATTCAACAGATATAATGACAAAACAGTACAGAACAAAAACTTGATAAAAGGCCTTACGGTTATAATACAAATTGTGTACAAATGTAGAGTGGAAAAATCTGCGAATATCAACATACTAACATCCAGTTGGCTGAAGAGATAAAATATGTCTACATTTATTGCAATCAACTGACCGTTGTGCCATCCACCGAGATGAAGGCCGAAGTCTTGCTGGACATAACCTCAATGGTCAGAGTACTTGGCACGGACGTCTCCACCACTTTTTCCTTATTCCCAACAGCAACCTCATCATAGTCATTTGTGCCAATTTGATCTGTTAAAATCAAATTCTTTGTATAATACTAAAACCACACATAACAGGCTGAGCTGTCTATAAATCATAAATGAAACACTATACAAGGAAACGTTTGGCCACGCTTGTTCTGCCCTCGCATAAAACTATCCGTTTCTTCCCCTAAAGAATATGTGAAAACATATATTTTAATTTTGACTTTAACCTTTGAACACAATTTTATATACCCTCTATTAGCAAAAGTTTACAGCTGACGAAAGTTTAACTACAACAAATGTTTCTCTGAATACAGTATGTATAATACATATATACATAGCTCTCTATATATTGGTAATTGAAACTCCTAAAACGTTTTTAACCGTCATACTGTATAATCTCATTATATGTTGATGTTTTTAATTCTTTTGTTAGCAAAGCAATACTAGTCTTAAGCTGATAGTGTAAATAAGTTTTAGGTAAGTACAAGTATGGTTCATCCTGTGTGGCTGTGTCTAGCTGTACAATAAACAGATGCCATTATAACATGCAACATCAGCTTTCAATATCATGTGCAGTGTTACTTAGATAAATATACCTACAAATATGCTTTTACATGCATGTTTCATTCCCCAAGAATTTTAAATGATCACCATTATCCTATTTTCATATTTTTTAAATTGTCTTCATGAACACCTAAGTAACTCCAGAATCCAACTGGTTTCATATAAACATACAGTAGGTGAGGTCAGGCCTTTACAGAAAGATTCATGTACTTTTCATTAAATATCTACAGATGAAGAAGGCCAGTATGTCACTAGATATATATAGAAGCCTGTATGCCACAGAATACCTACACGAGGCCTGTATGCCACAGGACTGGTCTAAACAGTACTGTTGAAACCCTTTCACTTCTCCAGGTTGGACAAGCAGGCAGACCAGGATACATACCACCAGTACAACACACATCCTCATAAGACATTTCCATGCTCCCTCATTACTGAATCCTTGATTTTTTCTAAATAACAGGTGTTTTTCTTTTTGTTTTTTTGCAGTAGCTATCCTATCAAGTCTACATATCTCATCCAGTACATCAGTAAATCCTATGGCATCAAGCTGTAATTTGTTACTGATGATGAAATTCCTTTCGGCAAAGTCACATCTTTACAAAATATATTTATTTAAATATCTATCAGTTATTGATCAGGATAATTTCATCTTCTTGATGCAGAGGTTAAATAGAATTCCTGACCTTTGACCCTAATGCAGGAATATTTATAAAAATAAACCAGTCATGAATAAGAACTTCACTTCACTGATGTAATCAATATCTTCCACTTATGTTTGATGTTGAAGACCATCACTGAGAATTTGCCACATCATCAACATCTGCCAAGGTGTGAGCAGCATTGCCATAGAATATACATCCGCAACATGACAGACATGCCAACAAACTCAGAATGACATCCCAGAAAATTTAGCTGGTTTACAGCCTAACACTATCATAAGAAGTTCACATGTGGTACAGCATATATTTCCTGAGGACACAGTCTCCTCAGCACCCCCCTAACATGTATATATTTAGTCTGTAGGAGGTCACTATATTAGCCTGGTAGACACATTTACTGGTAAACTGCTTTCTCCACAGCAGGCCTTGAACCTATCAGCAGCAATTTTGTAAACACAACAGATTGATATGAATTTAAAGATTCATATGTAGATACAAATGTATTACATGGATGGTCATTTTACACTTTGCTGTCTCTCATCTCAACCTCACAAATTAATCTTTATACTATATACACAGCTGCAAATCGATACCCAAATCCTCCATCTGACTTGTAGGTAAACTTCCTATCTAATTTCAGGGTGAACTGAATCTACACCAGTGAGATATTGTATATATAAGTGTCTGAAGCTTTAAAGTCCAGAAATCTACTCTATGATAAGTTCTGCACAATAAACTTAACAACCTGTTACCACTCATTTGTATGAAAGATTAAATGTGTGGCCTGTCTTTTGTGCCACGTGGCCATACTGTTATATTGATAAATCAGTAAAGTGATATCAGTGAACTGCCTACCCAATCTAACATCCACTGGTACAGTCAAGGTCTGCTTACATCTTTTATTATGGCCACAATTTGTTTGAAACTAATAATTCAATCAAAATCACATCATTTTATTTTGTTTTTCACAAGGTGGTCATTATACACAGGCATGTTTTCACAGATGGTCTTTATATATAATGTAATCACCAGACATCTGACAGGCAGCTGACAAGAGAGAGAGAATAAAGACGATGTAAAGAATCAATGCTGTATATAGCACATAATATTGTGGCAGATGACACAGTCATCAATACCTGTTGTCCTATTGACAATACTTATGATTTTTGTGGAAAAACCCGAGGCATTGCAGTTGATTAGCATGAAATTAACTGGACATCACTTTTGTTTTTCACCTCATGCTACACAAAATATGTTTTCCTTTTTAGTTGAGTATTCACTTGGGAAAAACACTGCTGCTAGGTAGAAATCTAGAAATTATAGATAATGTTCAGGTCACACAATCCCTTCCTTTTTCTTCTTTCATCTAACTTGGTTTTTCTACGAAATTTGAGAATACCTCTGAAGATATAGTGATGTTAAATCAAACCCAAAATGGACAATGTACCATCAAATTAGCTAGAAGGGCCAGGTGAATTATACAAACCCCCAAAATGACAATTAAAATACAAGAAACCAGGGAGACCTACGTATAAAATCAGAGAATGATCTACTGACTACTTCTCGAGAATTAGTGATAACAAACTTCAATTATCATATCAAGGATGGTCACGGTCAACCATTTTGTTTATCTGATCATTCTCAAAACTGAAAGTACACAATTAGTGACCTAGGAGAACATACATATAAAATTTGTGAAAGATTGCCACTTTTCAGTCATTTTGTTGTTTCTAATCCACCCTAAACTCAACAGAGCATAACTAAAGGTACCAAATGGAACCTTTACATGAAATTTCAGAAAGATCCATCCAAGTCTTCTCAAGAAATAGCAAAATAAAACTTGCTAAACGACAGACAATGGACAATACATTCCACCATCTGACGACAATACACTTACAAAAAATATTAGTGTCTAAGGTATTGAGATCAGAACAATGTTATTTCTGCCTTCTTGTGGAACAAGTTATCAATTCTGAAGATAATACAATCCCACAGGCAACCTGGCTATACTGATTGAACATGCCAAGGCTAGGTAAATTGGGGGAAATCCTAAGTACTGCAGCACTAAGTATGAACTAAGGAGAAACGCTGCCAACAGAGGGAATGAGTTAGAGACTTAAAGACAAAATGTTTTAACAGTGAAATGTAGGAAAGAGGCCCTATAAGGGGGATACATGAGTTCAGAGAAACATCATAACATTTGTATGTAACAAAGAGGCCTAAAAGGGGAAATAGTAGAGTAAGGCACCAGGAGACAATACTGTTTATTATAGAAGTCATAAGTAACAAAGAGGCCAAATAGGGGGAATACACATACATGTATGTAAGGCATCATAGAGAGGGCATTAAAACAGTCATGTGAAACAAAGAGGCCTTATATGGAGGAAGGGGAGTGAGGGTCTCTAGACAGGATATTGTAACAGTCACATGTAACAATGCGACCCTATAGGGGGAATTCAGGAGAGGGGGTCTCTAGACAGGATATTGTAACAGTCACATGTAACAAAGAGACCATATAGGGGAATACAGGAGTGGGGGTCTCTAGACAGGGTGTTGTAACAGTCACATGTAACATAGAGGTCCAACAGGGGGAATACAGGAGTGGGGGTCTCTAGACAGGATATTATAACAGTCACATGTAACAATGCAACCCTATAGGGGGAATTCAGGAGTGGGTGTCTCTAGAAAGGCTATTGTAACAGTCACATGTAACAAAGAGACCATATAGGGGAATACAGGAGTGGGGGTCTCTAGACAGGATATTACAACAGTCAAATGTAACAATGCGACCCTATAGGGGGAATTCAGGAGTGGGGGGTCTCTAGACAGGATATTGTAGCAGTCACATGTAACAATGCGACCCTATAGAGAAAATTCAGGAGTGGGAGTCTCTAGACAGGATACTGTAACAGTCACATGTAACAATGTGACCCTATAGGTAGAATACAGGAGTGGGGGTCTCTAGACAGGATATTGTAACAGTCACATGTAACAATGCGACCCTATAGGTAAAATAGAGGAGTGGGGGTCTCTAGACAGGATATTGTAAAAGTCACATGTAACAATGCGACCCTATAGGTAGAATACAGGGGTGGGGGTCTCTAGACAGGATATTGTGACAGTCACATATAACAATGAGGTCCTATAGGGGAATAGAGGAGTGGGGGTCTCTAGGCAGGATACTGTAAAAGTCACATGTAACAAAGAGACCATATAGGTAGAATACAGGACTTGGGGTCTCTAGACAGGATATTATAACAGTCACATGTAACAATGCAACCCTATAGGGGAATACAGAAGTGGGGGTCTCTAGACAGGATATTGTTACAGTCACATGTAACAAAGAGACCATATTGGGGAATACAGGAGTGGGGGTCTCTAGACAGGATATTGTTACAGTCACATGTAACAAAGAGACCATATTGGGGAATACAGGAGTGGGGGTCTCTAGACAGGATATTATAACAGTCACATGTAACAATGCGACCATATAGGGGAATACAGGAGTGGGGGTCTCTAAACAGGATATTGTAACAGTCACAGGTAACAAAGAGGTCCAACAGGGGGAATACAGGAGTGGGGGTCTCTAGACAGGATATTGTAACAGTCACAGGTAACAATGCGACCCTATAGGGGGATTCAGGAGTGGGGGTCTCTAGACAGGATATTGTAACAGTCACATGTAACAATACGACCCTATAGGGGGAATTCAGGAGTGGGGGTCTCTAGACAGGATATTGTAACAGTCACATGTATCAATGCGACCCTATAGGTAGAATACAGGGGTGGGGGTCTCTAGACAGGATATTATAACAGTCACATGTAACAATGCAGCCCTATAGGGGGAATTCAGGAGTGGGGGTCTCTAGACAGGATATTGTAAAAGTCACATGTAACAATGCGACCCTATAGGTAGAATACAGGGGTGGGGGTCTCTAGACAGGATATTATAACAGTCACATGTAACAATGCGGCCCTATAGGGGGAATTCAGGAGTGGGGGTCTCTAGACAGGATATTGTAAAAGTCACATGTAACAATGCGACCCTATAGGTAGAATACAGGGGTGGGGGTCTCTAGACAGGATATTATAACAGTCACATGTAACAATGCGGCCCTATAGGGGGAATTCAGGAGTGGGGGTCTCTAGACAGGATATTGTAACAGTCACATGTAACAATGCGACCCTATAGGTAGAATACAGGGGTGGGGGTCTCTAGACAGGATACTGTAACAGTCACATGTAACAAAAAGACTCTATAGGTAGAATACAGGAGTGTGGGTCTCTAGACAGGATATTGTGACAGTCACATATAACAATGAGGTCCTATAGGGGAATACAGGAGTGGGGGTCTCTAGACAGGATACTGTAACAGTCACATGTAACAAAGAGGTCCAACAGGGGGAATACAGGAATGGGGGTCTCTAGACAGGATATTGTAATGAGTCAAATATTACAAAGAGGTCCTACAGGCGGAATACAGGAGGTGGGATATACTGATAGGATATTGTAACAGGCCAATATGCAGAATACATGCACATGAGTTAGGCATCATAGAAAGGGCATCATAACTTTCACATGTTACAAAGTGGCCTAAGAGAGGAATACAGGAACTGAGAACATATCACCAGGATGTTATATGTCATAAGTAACAAAGAAGCCCAACAGGAGAAATGCATGAGTAATGGGTCAAAAGTGCAGATATTCATTAAGTTTGTAATAAATACATGTAATAATGCCAGGTAAACAATGTATGTGTCATGTCATTTGTCTGGTAAAAGTGACCATGTTGTCATCAAAATGTCATAATCAAATCTTCTACTGGTTGTGTTTTAAGAATTTTATACATATGTATATAAATTTTTATTTACAAGCTGACCTTTGACACTTTAGCCACTAAAGACATCTTAATGAAACACATTACAAAAACAAATTAAGATTAAAAATGTGTATTTTTTAACATGTTGTGTTGTCTAGTCTTAATTACTTTCACTTAAATATCACTGACAGTTTAAATCTCTGTTATATCATATCACGATACACCTATAGGGATGACTGCTTGTCCACACCTAGGGCTGACTGCTTGTCCATACATCTTATGTAAAGGAGTCACCCAGGTTTCCCTCCCCTTGGTCACACTGTGTCGTCAATCTGCACCAACAAATAGCTTCAAGCATCACATAAAACATGGAGCAAGCCTTGACTTCAATGATCTCC